GGTGATATATAATGTCGTCGTTGCGAAAGATTTCGGGTTTTTAGGGTTTTAGTCCGAAGTCATCTCAAACTCAAACCACACTGCACTGTACGAAGCATGACTGCCCAAACTCAAGAAGAGCAGCTCGCTGCCCAACTCGAACAGCAAAAAATTCATGTAATCTCTCTCTCTCTCTCTTTCACGTTACATGTTCGTCCGCAGTTTATCAACGGTTTCAATTGAGTAGAGGCTTGTGATATGTGATAGTTCTCTGGATTGGCTTACCCCTTCTGGGTTATCTTTTATTTATTGTTTCGGAATGTTGATATTGCCTGGATTTGTTTTTTTTGGGTATAATCATAAATTAGCTGATCTTTTCTGCTAGCTGATCTAGAAAATGATTTGGAAAGATTTTATGGTTGGAGTGTGATTTTTTTTTTGGTTATATTTTGCGTTTTAGCTGCTATGGTGTTGAATTTCCAATGGATCGATGAATGCGCAACACATTTATACATAGTGAACTTAACTTCTACAGACCTAAAAGGGTTTAATTTTGATGTAATATTATTTCCTTGTGATCAGCCTTTAGAATTAGTTTTGTATTCATTTTAGAGGGGATGTGATCCAGTTTACCGTGCTTTTTTTTTTTTTTTTTTTTGGTTTTTTTTCTGCTTATGTTTTAGTTATGTAGTAGCTATTGGGGTTGCTTGGAAACCTTTCCTTACAGCTTGGAGAAACAGATATACTGCTGACCTTTGAGTTTTCATTTTTAGTTTCACTTGTATCATTGTTTCTTCTTTAATACTTTGGTTGGTGAAGGTTGATTTTTTTGGTTATCAGCTGGGTGATTCTTAATCAGCCTTCCATTTCACACTGCATCAGCCATTTGCAAAAATGTGAACCGAAATTTGACTTTATATGATTTGCTTCTGACTAAATTAAGATGACTGAGGTTTGAATCAATGGGGTGTGAGAAGAAGGGTCAAGGGAGAACAACTAGAACTGTCTGCTGCATCAGATGATGTGAGGAGCTTCTGTTCTTATTTCTCTAGCACTTGAGGTGAACTCTTGTTTTGAGTTTGATATTGCATGGGTGGCTTCAGACCTTCGTTTGATTGGGAGGTCTATAATTGATTCTTGCCCAGACAAAGAAAGAAAACCTAATTGAGGACATAGGTTTTGTAAGGGTTCAGCCATTCACATAGATCGGCATATGGTTACACCTAACATTGGTGTTAATATTAGTAGGTCAAAATGTGGCATTATGTAGCTAAATATTAAGAATTGAGGAATGGAATGATCACGGAGGATCCTTGATATATTTTTGAACCTCAAAATGCTGCATTAAAATTGCATGGATTTAGTTTTTTTTTTTTTTTTGGTTCCCTTAGAATATTGGCCTCTCAAATTAAGGAATCATGGAAGTGTGGGTTTTCTTACGTGACATAAAGAAGCATTTTGGGAAGTGAACACTTCTGTGTTTAATCAGTGCCCATTAAGAACTCGGTTTGGATAATCGAGATTGGTCAATCTCTGATTGTATCTTATTGAACTTTCAAACTTTGCTCATTACAAGACATTTTACCTCTTGCCTGTATTCCATTAACTGGAGTATGTTACCTCAGTTGATGCTTTCAAGCAGATAGCATGTTTATCTGGTTAGGTTTAACAGGCATGTTTATTTATCATTTTAATCTTTTGTCCGGATTAAGACAATCTTGTTGTCCGAATTAGTGGCCTACTATTGTGATGTCAATTGTGAACTGTAAAATATTTCACAGTAGATCACTAGTCTAAGTTGGTATTTTCAATTAGTGGGAGAAAGAATGTGATGCTCAATTCACTCAATACCCATTGGACTTGGCTTATCTTGATTTCCAATTGACTAGTCTCATAGGTTCATAAAGTTATATGTTTAACTTGTTTGGGTACTAATTTGTCATGTTTATGTGCAATATATGACTGTTTTAGTTATGTCCTTTCCTACTATAGTAGTTAATCTTGTGCTGATGTTTAGTGGTGGAGAATAGCAAATATATTCTGTTGCTAGAGTTACCATTCAATACATTATCTAGGATGCTTCACCTTTTCTTTGTTGGGCAAGAAAGTTTGATTGGCATTTTGTGTAGGATGATGAGCCCGTAGTTGAGGACGAAGATGATGAAGATGATGATGATGATGAAGATGATGACAAGGATGACGATGATGTGGAAGGTAAAGTGCACATTGAAAATGTTAATTTTTGTTTTTTCTTTAACCTTTTTTTTATTTAAGCTTCTCTGCATGCGCTTTTTGCATGCGAAAGGCGTTTTCTACTACCAAGATGGACATACCCAAAACTGCCCCATAACATTACCCTTTCTTTCCAATTTATACTCACTCATTTATATATTTCTTTTGAAAGATTTTTTATTCTTTGTGCTCACATTCATTTATTGCATCATTCATATTAAATATTTTTTTATTAGTTTGACAATGAATTTAGGAACAAAATGTACATAATCTAAGTAATGCGGACATAGATGCTTGATCCTGAAGTATATGACATTTTTTCTTATATGCCAATATGTAATAAAAAATTCATACTCTTTAAACATGTCTATACTATTGCACTATTCACCTAACCCCTTATGAATAAAACATCAAAGTTTCACGGAAAGATAAGATAAAATTTGTAGTGCCAGAAAAAAATTAAGGGAATCAATCTGAACAAGGAAATCACAGAGACAACTAGAATTCCAAAATCAAACACTACATAGAGTTTGTAAGTGAAATGAAATTGCAGACAAATGATACACCTGTTCTTCGTTGTGTCATCTAGAAATGAAAGATGACATGATTGTACTGAAAGTTGGAGTTTTTCTTGTCGGTTTATACTCAAATGAATAGTTAAACCGAGAAAATTGACTGAAGGCCATTCATCGGTATTTGTCCTTTTCAACAGATTTCAACAGATTTCTTTCTCCCATTTTTGTCCTTTTCAAATGGTAACAGTTCTACTTTAATAATTTTACTAGCCTACTTTAATAACTTTTTTAATTTAAAAGATTGCTTTTACTATTTTATTCCTCATTAATTAAGTTGTATTATTTTAGAATTCTAATTAGCAAAGGATATTTCTTGGTATATTGAAAGTTACACCAAACTCTGCCTCTGCCTTTATATATATAGATTAGGTAGAAATTTTTTTAGGCAATCTGAGCAGCATATTTGAATTTAAGTATTAATTTTATTATGTTTTTGATAAAAAAAAAAATTAGTTTGATTAGGGGATTGAATAATCTTTCCATTAACATAAGTAGAAGCCATGGGTAAAAAAGGTTGTGTTGCTGTCTTCAATGCACCATGCAGTGTTTTTTTCTCTATGTTTAGCTTGGCCTCTCTCTTGTTCGGGTTATGATTTTCTTTCTGGGCAGAAATATGCCCATAATTATCTGGTTGTGTGACTGAAAATTTAAAAAATTAAAGATATAAGAGTGTTGAATTTTTGGTAAATTTTTTCAACTGAATGGTTTGGTTTAGCTGAAGAGCCCACCCTGAGAGATGATAATTCTGGCTCTGGTCCTTGCTGCTATAAAAAATGGGGGGTGGGTGGGTTGGAGGGAAGTTCAACATTATATCTTGTATAGTCAATGTAAATATGGGTATAAATTTTTGTCTAAATGTCACTGGCAGGACAAGGAGATGCAAGTGGTAGGTCTAAGCAGAGCAGAAGTGAAAAGAAGAGTCGCAAGGCAATGTTGAAACTTGGAATGAAGCCAATACCAGGTGTCAGCCGTGTGACTGTCAAGAAGAGCAAGAATGTTGGTGTTGATTTGTTGCATTTTTTTTAATATTTTTTTTTTGATTGCAACGTCCTGGCTTATATGAGATCTATGCATATGGTTAATGTTTTTATCTTTGTTCTTGCAGATTCTGTTTGTTATCTCAAAGCCAGATGTTTTTAAGAGCCCCGCATCTGATACGTATGTCATTTTTGGGGAAGCAAAGATTGAAGATTTAAGCTCACAACTTCAAACTCAGGCTGCGGAGCAGTTCAAGGCTCCTAATCTAAATACTGTGACAGCAAACCCTGAACCATCAACATTGGCTCAAGATGATGAAGATATAGATGAAACTGGTGTGGAACCCAAGGACATAGAGTTGGTGATGACACAAGCTGGGGTTTCAAGACCAAGAGCCGTTAAAGCACTCAAAGCAGCAGATGGAGACATTGTTTCTGCCATTATGGAATTAACAAACTGAGCCACCTTCTCTGCGAAACTTTACATCTGATGAGTTTTTTTTTTTGGGGCCCCCAGTGCTGTCTACTTGAGAATTTGAGATTTAAATTTCGAATGTCTTTGTTTCTTTAATCCTTGTACCAGTATGATATAACTCTGATGGTTATGATGTATGGTTTGGATGTCTTTGCATGTAGTGCATTGCACCTCATCATTTATACAATATCATCTTGCATATCAGTTGCTCAGCATGCTTATAATCAGTGGCGCTACATATATCCCGTTGTGGTAGATTGTACTTTTGGTGTGATATATGAAATACCAGGGTTGGGGGTTATTATCTAGGCTTGAGATACCTTGTACCCAATTACCTTGTGCCCTCCCAGTCTCCTATCTACCGTTTTGACACCTGTCCGTGAACTGCTTGTTTGGTAGAGATTATAGATGGACTGACAATCACTTGCGTTTCTCCATATAATGATTTAAGTGATTTTATGAAAAAGCAGCTTGTTTGTTTGGGTGTGATCCCGGCCCTCCAAAAATCACTTCCAAATAGATCATTATTGATTAATTGATTAATTTATGTTTTAAAAAAAAAATATAGATGGACCACGTCACCTATCTAAGGGAGTCTCAAGTGTGGATGGGTGACATGATCCACCCACCAGCCAGAACCAAGATTTTCTCCGAGTAGGGGCCAGAAGCTGGCTTCAGTCAATCCTTGCCGCGGCCTCTGTTTTAGTGAACGAGCTAGCTTACTAATTTAGTAGCCTAGACAACCATGTGTTGGCCTGAAACTTGCATTGAAAGGGAAAGCCCTGGATATTCTGCAGAGTTGGTGGAAACATAATTTTAATTTCAATCACTACATTTTGAGCTTGAAGAGCCCTCTGCTTTTGCATTTGTGAAGATTCAGACTTGTTACATACTTGAGGATGAATGTACAACTGGATTTTGTGCTTGAAGATAGATCGCCATCGTCTTCCGAATTCATGTATTGAGCACTGATAATATTTTAAGTGTCCCCTGTATCTGAGAATATTGAATTGTTTTTCGTACGGTGGAAATTGGTAAAAGCATGAAGTCCACAAGAAGTATATTTCCTCCACAGCAAGTTAGCAACCTTATGCTTTCTTGTAAAGGTAAATAAAATATTGCCAAAATGTTTATCTAAAGGATAATCTCTTGAAGACATTAAATCATTCCATGGATCGCTCTCTGCCTTCACTTCTAATGGTTCAATTACTTGTGTTTCCAAGGCTTCACCAGCACTTACATCAGACAGTTTTGCTGCATACCTCCGTCTTTGCCTCCTCATCTTCCAAACTACCCCATCTTCCTCCAAGGGCCATTGCCATCATCTCGTATATCTTGTTTCCCAATTCAGCTGGGCTCTCTTGGCATCTGTGCTGTCAGGGGCCTTCTTGCAAGCAGCCTGCAGTAGAAAACAACTGTCAAATCCAGAGATTTTTTTTTTGGCCAAGGCATTGGTTTGGGTTCCTCAAGATTGCACACTACCAAGTTTCGAACCCAGGTGCCGTGTTGGGGTGGGGGAAGGGGACCACTAGAACCACTGTGGTACAACCCCACTGGCATCCAGAGATTTTTTTTAAGTCCTGTACTTCCAAGTCTTGTATTTTTCTACCACTACTTTGCAAACCAAATTTTCTATACCAACATTGTTCCCCTACCGCACTACCACCAAAGTTGGCAGGATAGATACCTCAATATCTTTCTGAACCAACTTTGCCAAGAATCGAGCACTTTTCAGACTGTCTGCTGCCAAGTAATAGATTGCATTCGGGTTCTCAGGCATGTTCTCAACATAATCATCTAAGCTAATCAGTTATTCCTCACTTTTTGAAGAGTAGAACCGCAACAAGGGGGTTATGCACTTGTGATTTGCTGAGTCCTCGATGCATCCTAACTTTAGAAACCTGCCAAAGTTCTCCCATAACTTCTTGTAATCCTGGGATCAAGTAATATCATTTTCCAAGTTAATAACAATTTTCAGCCTTTCAGGTGGAATCAAAGAGAAAACACAAGCTTAATTGCTGCCACCAACCTCTCTATTTTCACTCTCAGAGATCTCTTGAATCATGTCAAATGTTTTCCGTTTGAGTTGCTTTCTCATAATCCTTACCTGAAAATAGTAGATAGATAGACTAAGAAATAATACAATACAACCTGACACAAATATCTAAGCACAAAAAAAAAAAACAAAGAACAAATATTAACTGCTACAGAGATGTCCACAAATTTTAAGAGTAATAGCATTCCCTTCACAAATGCATAAAGATGGTAGAAAAACTAGGGCTTACAATTCGACTTTCTTGAAGAATCTCTTGAGAAACATTTAGAGGAAGATCATTCGAATCCACCACACCCTTAACAAAGCTTAGGTGTCGAGGAAACTGCAAAAAGAATAATTCAATGTATTACAGCGACAAACCATATTTCCAAGCATATAAGCATCAACCCCAAAATGTATTTTGAACATTCCAGATGGCACATCACTAGTTGAATACCATCAATGCCTATAACATCTAAATATTTCCATTTGTTTTTTTTCACAACAGCTAAAAAACTCCATTGATGATGGATAAAACAACACTTCTTTTGATTAGAACATGTAATAACTACAATGAGTATTAAGGAATACTTCATTTTCCAATTTAAATACAGAATAAACAGTCAACACCAGCATTGTTAATAATATACCAATCATAAAATAAATCACAAAAGAGGAAACTTAATGTGCAACAGTATTTGCAACAAAGATGATCACCATTGACATGAAACCAAATCAACGAACTAAATAGAAGCTCAAAGTCACATGGTTTCCAATATATCAAAGCTTACCAGTTCACCATCAAAATCATCTGAGATAAATATCCGTTTCACATACAAATAAGCATCAACCCCAAAATGTATTTTGAACCTTCCAGATGGCACATCACTAGTTGAATACCATCAATGCCTATAACATCTAAAAATCTCCATTTTTTTTTTCACAACAGCTAAAAAACTCCATTGATGATGGATAAAACAACATTTCTTTTGATTAGAACATGTAACAACTACAATGAGTATTAAGGAATACTTCATTTTCCAATTTAAATAAAGAATAAACAGTCAACACCAGCATTGTTAATAATATACCAATCATAAAATAAATCACAAAAAAGGAAACTTAATGTGCAACAGTATTTGCAACAAAGATGATCACCACTGACATGAAACCAAAACAACGAACTAAATGGAAGCTCAAAGTCACATGGTTTCCAATATATCAAAACTTACCAGTTCACCATCAAAATCATCTGAGATACATATCCATTTCACATACAAACATATATTCTTTGTTTTTGCATTGACAACATCCTCGTTGTTAAGAGGCCCCATTCCAGGAATATAAAGAACACTCCTGAACTCCACCTCACCCTGTGCAGATTTCAAAGTTAAACTCTAAATCTGCTACATTTTCTACCTCAACAAAATTATTAAAACAAAACACAACAAGACAAAGGGAGAGAGAGACCATTTCAGTACCTCAGTGGTGAAGTGAGTGTATGCAACTGGATCCAAGAGCTCACTACAAGTTTTCTTGTAAAATTCATGGCACTCATCTTTTCAACTTCCTTTGGATTCCGCATCTGCACAAGAACAAAACAAAATTAATTTTAAAAAAGGCTAATAAAATATATAACAAGAAAATACATGCACAATAGGCAAACGGGCCATGCAGAATCTAAAATACATTTATGACATCAATAATGCTATGTCTTCAACTAACCCATACGCTTTGTTTCATTGGCTAATTCCCAATCCCAATAATTCTCAGTTTTTGTCTTATTTTTTATTTCACCCTGGTAACAATCAAAGTAACTTATTACACTGTAAAAGTTACTGAGAAAAAACTATATTTCCCACAATTAGGAATCCTATGTCTCTGGCTTTGGTTCTTCCTCATTTTCCACCTGCCAAAAGTTTCCACTCAGTGAGGATTCACAAAACTGCTAATTGCTTCATCATATGAACAACAGATACTTAATCATATAACTGTAAGGTATAGAAGAAATGTAGCCTCAATGATTCGTTTGCAATAATCAACCGATTTTGATAAAAGTTTGCACCTCAGAGAGTCACATTTTGACAACAATACTTTTCTGATTATCACCTATAATGTACACTTGACATGCACCTTCAACTAATAAAGAAGTAACAGTCCAATCATTAAGGAAAAGATGAATCACATGCAGAAATCCAATTCTATTAATCCCTTCAAAACTTGCCCCTTGCCATATAGAGGGAACGGGTATGACAAGCAGAAAATGAAGTCCCCACCTCAACAGTCCTTGATTTTTTCTTTCCATGTAAAGATTGGGGAAGGAAACAAAGTGCAAGTAATTCTTCACCAAACCCTGGATTTGGGGCGGATCTGAGAATTCATACTTGTCATCCGGCTGCAAGGAGAGATATAACTTTGAGATAGTTTGTATAAGACATCAGAATAAATTGAAAAATAAGCAATGAACTGTCCCAACAAAAGATAATGACTTTAATGTGTCAACATCTAGCAATAGCTGGACATAACTTCAATGCCCAATAAACGAAAAGTCACATGCAAAATGACCAAATCCCATGAAAAGAGAAATGAAGTAGCAGGTATGGTACCCTTAAATAGAGGGTGATCTGTGTTCCATGGCGTATGAGATTTTCAGGATCAGTTTCTTCCCTAATTACATAAGAGAGCTATTGCCTGCATCTCCAAGCAGAGAGGGGTTAGCCACACTCAAAAATCTCAACTTGTCCAAAGCATGACTAGCATTACTGGAACAGGAAAGAAAAATACAGTCAACATATGGGCCAAATAATAAGGCGCATGCAAAACGCATCATAATGAGCATAAACTGTCCTCTGGAAAACAGTAGTATACGACCTAATGTTATTATGAAAGAACTAGGAAACTGTTTTGACTTAGTCATTTCTGGAAATATAGTATTTATTCATTCATTTTTATGAGAGAATGGAGATATATGAATATAATGTTATACCTCATGAACTGAATTTGTCTAATATGAGCCAGTGAACCGCTTTTCCCAATGGTCAGATGCCAAAAGATTCCCCATGTTAATCATGAAGAAAGCCAAGTTTGAACATCTCGGCTAGAAGATCAGCTACTGAATTAAGATCACCACGATGACGAAAAGTATTCAGCATCACCTCACACAGTTCTTGATCAGGAAAAATCCCATCAGATAACATCATACAGAAAAAATATTTTGCATCAGTTATTAGACACCTTTTGCACAATCTATTAATAACAGCACTATAATCCCGAATGGAGATTTCAAATCCTTTCTCCACCATTTGATGGAAGAGCCCCACTGCCCTATGTACATCATCCTTTGCACAATGTGCCTTGATCAACGTGGTATAAGCAACTTTTGTCAAATTGATATTGCAGTCACAAAGAGAAACCAGTGGCCTGTCAGCATCCATTAGGTCGCCATATACACAAAGACCATTGATGAGAACATTATATGTAACAGGAGTAGGCTCAAGATTATGAATCAACATCTCATTGTGCAACTGAAAAGCTTTCTTGAAGTCTCGAGCTTTACAGAAACATTTTATCAGAGTATTATATGTGATTTGATCTGGGGTTATGCCCTTAGCATACATTTCCTCAACTAAGTGAACAGCCTCCTGCAGCTTCCCCAGTTTGATAAGTCCTTTAATAACTACCGTGTAAGATACATGAGTTGGTTCTATAGCATTTGCTTCCATCTCCTGAAGCAACTCAAGCATGCCATGGATGTTTCCTCGTTCAATGTTGGCATCCATAAGAGTAGTATAAGTAAATGGACTTGGTAGCAATCCAAACAGCTTGATGGTATCCAACATCTTATGAGCCTCAACCAGTTTCCCAGTTTTGCAGAAACCATAAATAAGAGTATTGAAAGTGACAATACTAGGATTTATTCGCTTTTCAATTATTTGTTTATACAATCGCGTGGCTTGTGCAATGCTACCTATTTTGACATACCCATCCATCATAATATTATACAGCACAATAACCTCTGTCACACCCCTTTTTAGTAGATTATCAAAATGCTTCCTTACCTCAGATATATCCCCTTTCTCACGCAGACCTAAGAGAATAGAACGGTGTACAAAGTAATTGGGAATGATTCACTTCATGTACATTTCTCTATATATTTTGCTAGCCCTCTGAACATCTCCTTTCTAGCATAGGCCATGAATGAGGATAGAATATGTTATAAGATCTGGTTCCAAGCCAACAGCTTCCATCTCATATAGCAATCTCAATGCTTCTACTACTCGTCCACTTTTACACAAACTTCTGAGGAGTACACTGTATATACTGACACTCAACTGAAAACCCCTTGAAAGCATTTCTTCCTGCAACTTAAGGGCTTCCTCAATATTTCCAGCATGGCAGTGCCCACATATCAAAATTGTATATGTCACATGATCCGGACTTATTAACCCTTTAATCAACATTTTCTGAATGACCTCGTGAGCTCCACTCATCAAACCAAGTAGATGAAACCCCTTACAAAGAATGTTGTAGGTGACTGTGTCAGGCTGTACCCCATGCCTCTCCATGTCTTTAGTGAACTCCAATGCTTCTTCCAATGAACCCGCTATACACTGCCCATGAATAAGAATATTATAACTGTATGAATCAGGAAGTAGTCCACACTTGAACATCAAACAAAAAAACGACTTCGCAACATCCACAAACCCCAATTTACAGAACCTAGACATGATGGTATTGAATGAAACAACTGAAGGCCAACTCTCCGTATTTTCCACACCCATGAAGAACGAAACTGCATCTTGTAGGCCGGATTGCTCACATAATCCATCTATAAGTATGTCAAAAGTGTGGTCACTCTGATGAGTTCCACGATCTTTAACTTCATTATAAACAATCCACATGATATCTGTATGCTTTAAGTTATGCAACAGACAGTTATAGGTTGGTGTTGAAATGTTCAAATTCAGATCTTTCATCTTAACAATAACAGACAGAGCATCATGAATCATCTCAGATCTTGAATAAGCAAACGCCAACATATCCCACACCACACCACTCGAATCCCAGTCCCTGAATCTATTTAAGAGCAGCTCACAAAGTGAAGGTGCCGAACCAGGGCCTATCACAAATCACAAGAAATTTATAAACCAAACATTGAGTAAAAATAAAGAACAAAAGCAATGAAACGATTAGGCTTCATCCATTTCTTAGCTAGCCCCAATGCATCTATGAGCCTTACCTAATCTCAGAAACCAAGCCACAATCTATAATAAAAAGAAAGTACTTAAAATGAAACGACTAGGCTGACTCCAGGTTGGTCTCTTTTTGCTCATCTATGCTTGGTCTCTTTTTGGTTTTTGCTCATCTATGCTTGGTCTCTTTTTGGTTTTTTAAGTACTTTCTTTTTATTATAGATTGTGGCTTGGTTTCTGAGATTAGGTAAGGCTCATAGATGCATTGGGGCTAGCTGAGAAATGGATGAAGCCTAATCATTTCATTGCTTTTGTTCTTTATTTTTGCTCAATGTTTTGTTTATAAATTTATTGTGATTTGTGATAGGCCCTGGTTCGGCACCTTCACTTTGTGAGCTGCTCTTAAATAGATTCAGGGACTGGGATTCGAGTGGTGTGGTGTGGGATATGTTGGCGTTTGCTTATTCAAGATCCGAGATGATTCATGATGCTCTGTCTGTTATTGTTAAGATGAAAGATCTGAATTTGAACATTTCAACACCAACCTATGAGCCTTCATCATCCAACATTTGCTTTACAACCAAACACAGCTCTTTAAACAGCCTTCTCCTCGCTAACACATGAGCAACAATAAACTCTTAAACCCTGGAATGCCAAAACCCATACTCATTACTCAAAAGGTTGAAGAAACTGAAAGCTGACTCCAGGTTCTCAATGCTCAAGTTTTCAATAATCAAATCCACCTGAGGCTGATTCAAAGTCGGGATAATGGTTTTGAAATGATGATTTTATTGTAAAAGAAGTAATGAAATTTTATTGTAAAGACGTTAAGGGGCCATGGATACCTAAATATAGGCAAATTTTATTTTATTTATTTTATGGTAAGAAAAAAAATCTATTAAATTACAAAATGAAGTATATCCACTAGACAGATTGTCCACCAAAACAATACATCAACATAACAGGAGCATAAAAAACAAGATTAGAGAGAAAATAGTACTATTTCTCTCACAATTGGAACCCCAAAAAGAGATTAGACTGCACAGCTGCTTTCCAATCTGGATGACATGGTTAACACAACATGACAGTACCCAAATATCAGCAAAAAACGAAAGAATATATTGCAATCTTTCAGATTTCTTCTAAAGAAACTAACTCCTAAAGCTGAGAAAACTAAAAAAATGTAATAAATGAGAAAAATAGAATAGTACAAGGAGGCCATCCAGAAGAAAAAAATTATCACAGAAGTTGTAGTATTTTTGTATTTACTGCTAGCTTACTTCAAAAATGAATTGACGTATTGGTTAATAGAAAATGTGATTGTTACCTGAACCATTCACACCAAAGAATCATACACAGCAGTGTCACCATGAGGATGAAATTTTCCTAGAACCTGCATCAAATCATTATATATTTAAAACCTAAATATAAAATACTGGGGATTCATACAAAAGAACACAGAAAGCCTCTGATTATTAACCTCTCCAACAACTCTAGCACATTTCTTGAACGGTTTTCGCGACGCAAGCCCCAATTCATGCATTGCGCACCTGTAGTTTGGGAAGAATACAGAATATGAAATCCTCCTAAATTTGACTAATGAGCATTCTCTATGTCAAAAATTCATAGGTTTTTAGTTCAAATTTTATCAGGACGGAACCAAACGATCAAATAAGCAAATATCACTCACAAAATAGCTTCAGTGGGTTCCTTGTGGAGCTCAACACGCACCATTGTTTCTTCGCTGCTCTCACTTGTGTCCTTGACCAGCACACTCCCATTTCCATTTTGCCCTTCGCTTGGAGCCTCCTTTTGGGCCGAGGATGATGCTGATAGGAAGCGGAGCTCCGACAGAGGAAGAAAAGCAAAGACTGGAAGCTAAGGCCATGCTAAGGGCATAGGGCTAAAGGTGCCATGCCATTTGGGGTTTTTGGGGTTTCATTTCACCACAATCTAAAACCCTGGTTTTGCGATTGCCCGTGGAATTTGGAGGCCTCTTGCGCCCCAAGATGCGTGTGGGTTTTTGGATTGGATGCACAGCACGTGACTTTCTTGGCAAAAAGTGGGTACAGATCACGTGCTAAAAGGAAATGTCAAGTATTTGTATCTGAAAGCTTCTAACACCAAACTAGGGTTGGTGATCAAAATCGGAATACCGAAACCGTGCCGAATCGTGCCAATCTCATGTCGTTCCATTTGGTGTTGAAGTGTAAATGGAATGATACCGTATCATCCCGTTACTGCTTGGCACGACACCGGTTCCAGATTTATGATCCCGTTTAGCGCTATACCATACCGAACAGTACTAGGTAAATAATAAATCCCAATTTTAATTCCTCCTCTCCCACGAACATTCGACTCAAGCTTTGTTTCCTCCATCCTTTCCTTCCATCTATCTATTCTTCTCTTCTCTTCTCCTTTCTCAATCATCGATTTGAAGCTGTAATTCCCAATCCTCCACCATCGATCGATCTCGTCTTCTTCTCTCTCTCTCTCTCTCTCTCTCTCTCTCTCATATATGCCGCCATAATTCCCAAAATCCCTTCCGATTTCAATCAGATCCTCTTACTCTCCTCCTCTCTCTCTCTCTCCCTCTCTCTCTCTCTCTCTCTCTCTATATATATATATATATATATATATCTCTAGTATCTTCTTCTCCTCTCTCTGTCACACTCTCTATCTATAGTATTGGGCTTGATTTGTAAAACTTTGTAATTTTGTGTTTTGCAAACAGGTTTTTTACGGTATAAAAAATGATACCGAATCATACCGGTCTCGTGTGGGGCCGGTATGGTTGAATGTTTTTTGAAAATCCCTCATCCCATCGCATCCTGTCCCGTCCTGATGCTTCTATCTAGGATTGACACTGGGATGACCTCCATCTTGTGTCAACCCGTACCGTGCCCAGGCCTACACCAAACCATATAGGCCATTGGATGAGCAGTTAATGGATATGGGGTAATCCACACCATTAGTAGTTTGTCACCTATTTAACTAATTGTTACATGTTAAATAAATAAAAAAACAAAAAAAAAAAAAAACAAAAAAATGGAACGTGAAGCCCCTTCCACTGCTACCCTCTCTTCTTCGTGTTGGGCTTCTTGGTTCGAACTCTAGTAGGCAATAGCTTGTTTGGTGGATATTAATTGGTCATCGTGAGTGTTTGTGCAAATTTCTCACGGGAGAATATTCATGTGTAGATTATTCACCATTCGAGCTTCCTGCTCTCTTTCTTGGTTCCTGCGAAACAAATAGGAGTAAAGACCACATTTGTAGGGTGTTGGCCAAGGGGCCTCCGATGCCTAAGTTAGTTCGATTGGATCTTTGAGAAAAGATGCGGCAATAACTAAAATGGACAGAGTTTTCTCTCACGAGGAGAGTCTGGTAGCCTTAGCCTTGTGAGGAGAGAAGGGAGGGGGGGTAGAGAGAGAGTGAGAAGTGTCTCTCTCGTGTTTTAGAGCTAGGCTTTGAATTTTCTTGTATGTTGAATGTGGCCATGTATTTATAGGGCTCTAGCTATCTATGGTTTTTCAAAGAATAATTCCTATATGGAAGGAAGATATTCTTTCCCTTAAATGGAGAGATTGATGATAATATCCACAAAATAAGAAAATATCATAAATTGATGATTATATTCCCAAATGAAGATAATATCTTTATTTTTTGTCTTAATTAATTTGCCAAATAAATAGGCTCAATTACTGACCTATGTGATATTCTTATTGTTCATGTGGAGCCTTGTGACTGGTCGGTGAAATATATGCTCCCACAAATGCCCCCCAGCTCTCTCTGTCACACTCTCTATCTATAGTATTGGGCTTGATTTGTAAAACTTTGTAATTTTGTGTTTTGCAAACAGGTTTTTTACGGTATAAAAAATGATACCGAATCATACCGGTCTCGTGTGGGGCCGGTATGGTTGAATGTTTTTTGAAAATCCCTCATCCCATCGCATCCTGTCCCGTCCTGATGCTTCTATCTAGGATTGACACTGGGATGACCTCCATCTTGTGTCAACCCGTACCGTGCCCAGGCCTACACCAAACCATATAGGCCATTGGATGAGCAGTTAATGGATATGGGGTAATCCACACCATTAGTAGTTTGTCACCTATTTAACTAATTGTTACATGTTAAATAAATAAAAAAACAAAAAAAAAAAAAAACAAAAAAATGGAACGTGAAGCACCTTCCACTGCTACCCTCTCTTCTTCGTGTTGGGCTTCTTGGTTCGAACTCTAGTAGGCAATAGCTTGTTTGGTGGATATTAATTGGTCATCGTGAGTGTTTGTGCAAATTTCTCACGGGAGAATATTCATGTGTAGATTATTCACCATTCGAGCTTCCTGCTCTCTTTCTTGGTTCCTGCGAAACAAATAGGAGTAAAGACCACATTTGTAGGGTGTTGGCCAAGGGGCCTCCGATGCCTAAGTTAGTTCGATTGGATCTTTGAGAAAAGATGCGGCAATAACTAAAATGGACAGAGTTTTCTCTCACGAGGAGAGTCTGGTAGCCTTAGCCTTGTGAGGAGAGAAGGGAGGGGGGGTAGAGAGAGAGTGAGAAGTGTCTCTCTCGTGTTTTAGAGCTAGGCTTTGAATTTTCTTGTATGTTGAATGTGGCCATGTATTTATAGGGCTCTAGCTATCTATGGTTTTTCAAAGAATAATTCCTATATGGAAGGAAGATATTCTTTCCCTTAAATGGAGAGATTGATGATAATATCCACAAAATAAGAAAATATCATAAATTGATGATTATATTCCCAAATGAAGATAATATCTTTATTTTTTGTCTTAATTAATTTGCCAAATAAATAGGCTCAATTACTGACCTATGTGATATTCTTATTGTTCATGTGGAGCCTTGTGACTGGTCGGTGAAATATATGCTCCCACAAATGCCCCCCAGCTTATGCATGGTGCTTGTGAGGCATGGAGGAGATGAGAAATATTTTTCAGGCTTCCCAACAGCAAATGGGCTTTCTTCTTTTAGTTGGGCTCCTTTTGCAAGTTGGGCTCCTAATTGAAGTAGGCTTTTGACTTCTTCTTGGAGTTGGGCTCCCAATGGGAATAGGCTTGTGATTCATTCTTGACCTAGGATGCCTAACCTTTATAAATATAAGGCTTATCTTCACTCATTTTAAAATTGCAAACTTCTTTTCTTTACTTTCTAGCTTGTGAGAGAGATCTTGGAGAATTGTACTGCTTGTCGAGGAGAGGAGTCGTTGTGCACACCAAGGTAGGTCAAATATATATATATATATTCGCAACGAAGATTGGTTGGCTTCGGCTGGCCGGTTGTCACTGTGATTGGTGTCGACTGAAGCGTCAGTGGCTGTTGGTGGCAGTCAACAGGACCAGTTGGTTGCGTCACAACCTAGCTAAAGGGTTGCGGCATGGAATTGGGTTGTGCCCTGAGGGGGGCTTGCGAGGCGGGCTCACACTGGTCTAGGCTTCGTTGCGGCTTGGGCGGGTATTGGCTGCTTGGACCACGCTTATTTTTATTTTTTTGTAGGCTTGGGCTGGAGCTACTTGGCTGGAGTTGTCGACGAGCTAGAGCTCGCATGGGTGCTCGCTACTTCCTGCGGCTTGGGTAGTGCCAACTTGGCGGCTTGGGCGGGAGCTGACAATTTGTTTTGTTTTTTTTTATGCCGCAAATTAGGGTTTTGACATGCTATCTGACTTGCAATTTTCTTCCCTTCTCGCAACTATTCACTGGTCATGTCTTCTGATGATGGTGGCCGATCACCAAGTTCGCAAGTGCCTTTGTACCTATAGAGTGGTTCCAAGGTGCACAAGAACAAATTCGTGGCTAATTTGCATCGCGTTAAGTCTAAAGCTCACTTCCAGAAGTGGCATGCCACCTAGGCTTTGGCCATACCTGATGACATGCATGTCTAGTTGGCGGAGTCTTCGACTGACGATGCGTCTTGTGTGGACCCAAATGATCCAAATGCTAGAATTATCACATTTCGTCCCTTCTATTTCTCCTTGAGCTTAACGTTCCTATTGTCAAAGTTCTTTGGGAAGGTGTTCTGCGCTATGGAGTGTGCCCTAAGCCAATGTTCTTTGAATGTCTATTGGGCAATCATGTGTTTTGAGAATTTGAACTGTTTCTTCAAGCTAGATATGACGATGCGAGAGTTCTTCTACTTCTTCAAAGTGAGGCACTACGAGAAGTATGCCCAAGTCTATATATGCTAAGCCAAGCTATTTGACAGTCTCAGCCAAAGAGATCAAGTATGGCACGCCGATGTGTTGGAGGTCAGCAGAAGGTGGGAAGGCAAGGTCGGCAATGGTCCGCTCGTTCCTATCACCTACTGTGATGATACGTCATTATTTTATTCATATGCTTCAATTTTGTCTGAATTCTTTGATGTGTGACTAACTGACTTCTGTCTTCTGCTTGCAGAGAATGACATCTGCAAGAAACAAGATCTCGAGCCGGACATGGCTAAGGTCTGCTGGGCCTTGAACATCCCAGTGAGGATTCCCGAATGGCGCTGGCTATTAAGTGAGTATTGGGAGAAAGATGGTGGTCTACCCCTTACCAAGGATGTTGAGAAATGGAAGCAATATGACCCAGACTCAGATGATCTGCCTACTGAACGGGATGAGTCCTCGACCGAACATCCTGAAAAGTGGAAGGCTGATGCTAGGTCTTCAAAAGATGAAGCTAGAACCTCGTGGGCAAGGGATGTGTCTCCACTGAGAAAGAAGCCAAGACTTCCTTCTGTTGTGATCAAGTTTTCTTTGAAAGAGGCATCGTCTACTAAGAAGACTCAAGTGGGAGCTCCTCCTTCGTCATTTGCCAGGATCAAACACCTTGTCAGTGTGGATAGTAAAAAGATTGGTGGCATGCAAAATGTTCGGGGCATCCTGCTCAAGTCTCTGATTGACAAGCTCAAAACTTGCAATCTGCCTTGTAAAGAAGTCCGCTCCTGAACTGGTTCGCCTGTCGAGAAGC